TCTCTCTCTCTCTCTCTCTCTCTCGGTTTGAATCTCAGGGTGGTGGCCGACGGTAGTGGTGGTCGTGTCTAGATGGTGGTGGCTATGGTGGGGGGGTAGTTGGTTTCTTCGTGCTTACCGCTCCCTATCGCTCCTTTCTCTCCCTATGGGAGGGCGAGGAGGGCCCCCGTAGTCGCGCACTGCGCACCGAGTTCATCATAGACAGACCGATCTCCCTGACAGCTCCTCGTCGGGCTTGAACGGAGGTGGAATCATCAGATTCTGTCCATCTCTTCTTCGGCTCGCAGTAGCGTGTCGGGATAACGAACGCAGGAACACGGCGACAACGAAAGTGCGTGGTCCTGCGTGGTCTCTTTCTCGCGAATCTTCTTCGGCCATCACGCTCGCTGTCTCCGCGGTCCGGTCTCCGCTTATCAAGCAGCCCTTCTCCCTCTCTTCTTCCCCGATCACCCGAGGATTCACCCTTCGTCGTTTTTCACTCTTTTCCGACGACGCTCTCCTTCCCTTCTTCTCCGTGTCGGCCGTGCTCGCGCGGTTCCAGCGTTACTTTTTTTTCCCTCGTCTTCTTTTTATCGCATACCACGTCCTTCCACCCCTCTTTCTACCCCTTTTCGTTTCTCTTTTTTCTCGGCTCCTCTCGACCTCGCCACTCTTTTTCGCGTTGACTCACGCGCCGGCGATCGTTTCTCCGATTCGAAGGAGCACCGCCGTCGAACGAACGTTCCCACACCACGGGACATAGCGCGACGCGACGGCCGATCGTCGTTGGACGACACACACGCGCGCTCGATATCGTGTTCGGTATCGTCGTCATTGTCATTGTCATTATCCTCGTCGTTGTCGTCGCCATCGTCGTCGTTTTCGCTGCGTAACGCGATCACGAGAAGTTTGCTATTCGACTGTTTGCACGGACGAAACGATAGCCGTGGTGGTACGCGCGCGAGAAAGAGAAAGAGAAAGAGAGATCGAACCAGACCAACGGTGGAAGAGGAACACAAGCCGAAGGAGGGGGATGTGTGCGTGGGAGGAGTAAGAGATCCCGGAGGGCGACTTTTCTTTTATTTGAGCTTGACACTTCGCCGTGAACGCGCGCACACACCGGAAGTACCGAACCATCGTCGACCTTCTTCTTTTTCTTCGACACGTTCGAGCGTCTCTCGTCCACGGCTCGAGAAACCCGTGCTGAACACCGAGTAGAAAATCGAGAGAGAGAAAGAGGGAAAGAGAGAAAGAGAGAGGGAGAGAAAGAGAGCAGAAACTATCACGAGGAAACGCGGATCCACGCCACTGATCGGTGTTCGACGTTACGGAGGGTGCAAGAACTACGGGCAGAATGCCACGATATTCGACAACGAGCTTGGCGAACAAGGGTGTCGCGACGCGCGTTTACGTCGTCGGCCGAGGATAAACGTTCCGTCGAGTCCGGAAGTGTTCTCTCGTTTCGTGGGATGTGAGATACCTGAGGAGAATCGGATCGAATCGCGGAAAAAGAGAGCTGCGCGAAACATGTTCAATCGCGACGACGAATTGGTGTTACGTTCGCGACGACCGTAGCATAGTGTCAGTGTGACGTGGAACAACTCGCCCAAAAAGTAGCTCGAGAGACAAGCAGAGAACGTACTCTTCCGTGCTCCGATACCAACAGTATTTTTCCCCAAAGACGAGAAGGAGGAAGACCAAAGGTGATCGAGTATCGTGCCTCAGGATCTGGCGAAAGCTACTTCCGGTAGTCAGAATCTGGGGGCATAGAGAAAACAGCGAGAAAGAAGGGTGGAAAGAAGAGAAAGAAAGACAGAGAGAAAGAGAGAGAAGGAAAAGGAAGAAACGAAAAGAACGGGGTGAAAATCTACGGTGGTCGGTCGACGAACCGTTCGATCGTCATCGAGGATATATTGTCCCGGGGTAGTTTTCGGAGCAACCCCTCGAAGCGGCGAAACTGGAAGCTCTCGAATCGTACGGAACGTCAAAGCAGAAGCGCCGGTGCCCGGGGCGAGGAGGAGTCCTCGACGCGTGCCAGGCTGCTGATCACAGGCACCGCGCCAGAGACAAGAGACGAAGAGTAGGAGAGGGATTCGGGAAAAAAAACCGTACAGAAATACATAGAGAGAAAGAAAGAAAGAAAGAAAGAAAGAGAGACGGCGGATCGTCTCTCGAGCGAGGGGTCCTTCCGTTCGGGTGCTAGGGGTGTGCAGCCTTGGACGAGGGGTCGCACTCGACTCTTTTAAAGTGGGCAAACCGCGCAAAGAATAAGAGAACGTCCTCGGGGCGATGACAGGATGCCTCCTTCTCGATCAGGACGCGTCTGCGAAGGACCACCGTCTAGAATCGCCATTAGGATCGGACCCACCATTGCCCTGTTGCTGATTCTCCTCGAGAATCGTCGGTAAGTACCCACGTACGTTCTGCACCGAGAATACTCTTTCTTCCCGAGGCGAGAGAATCATCTTTCGCTTTATCTTATCCTCCACGATTTGTTATTGTATCAGTCGTACAGCGTGTTCGACTCGCTAACGAAATCATTTACGTTCGATATCGCGTCGCGTCGTGTCTTGTTGAGTCTTGACCATCGAACCAGGATATTTGTTTATTTTAGACGATCGAGCCGCGTGATCATCGTATACCGCGAAGTAAAATAAATCGGGCGTCGAGTACTGATGCAAATCGTTCGATCACGCGACCGAGTCGACTCCACGGGTGATCTTTGTCTCTGTGGCACGGAGAACAAAGGAGATACGACCGTGATGAAAATTACGACGAAAATCTCGAGGGAAAAAAGAAAGGAAAAGAGAATCGGGGAACAATGGAGAACGATAGATCCGATAGACGATTCGACGCGTAAAATTTGACTGGGAAAAATTGGCGAACCCGGTGGCAATGCGATTTCTTCGGTTCGGTCTTTTTCTCCGTTCGTCCGTCTTTCCACTTGTTACGGAAAAATCTGCAAAAATCTTGAAACGGTCTCGACAACGGTCGCGTTCGACGGTTCCCTGTAGCAGCGTACAATGACGAAGTGCAAACAGGCTCCTTCAAGCAGCTTCGTGCCACGAACAACAAACGATCCCGCTGCGATCTTCATTATACCTTCTCGATACTGGCTGGCACTGTGTCGAACACCCTGCACGCTCTAATCGAATCTTTCTTTGGCCAAAGGGGCACCCGGCGGCCGGTTCGTTTCGCGTGAGCAACATTCTTTAACCGAGCAGCGAAGGAAATCGGCCATTTTCCGGAACGCGGAGTTAAACGCGGAGGATGGTTCCGAGAACCGCGATAAATTCCTTGACTGGTTACTTCCAAGAATACGATTCGCTCTCGTCCTCGGTACACGAAACGACAAACATTCTCGACTATCTGTGACAATGTTGTGTCTTTGAGATAGAAGTGCCTGCAGGCGTAGGTAAGACTCTCAGTCTGACCACTGCGAGGAGCGTCCACGGCGTATTCTCCTTCGTGCCCACGCGGCTCCTCGTAAATAATTACAAACAGCATCCGGGAACAAGGCCGTACGTGCACCGACACGCGGCTCGCATGCACGCGCGAGCAGTGGATATAGGTACGCGTGCGCTTCGGCGTATTTACGGAACGACATTGAATTACCGCATCGCGAATAATTCCCGTGATGTAATGGTCGATAAACCAGTTTGCGCGACGCGACCGTTTAGCACACCCCTCCCTGTGTCACTCCCTGTTGCATCAATTTCACTCGACACACACGAAGATACAGAACAAATCACGCCCACGCCCGATTTCGTCTATGTCATTTCGACGTTGTTCCATCGACGTTGCTTCGACGTCGCGGCTTCCGAATCGCCGAGAATCGAGCGAGAGACGCAATATCGAGAGACCGAGAGAAGGAAGCACGACCCCGCGAAAATAAGAGAAGCAAAGCGATTCGATATCTGCCGCAGGAATTCTCGCGAGTCACTCGTAACGAGTTCTCTCTCCGCGGGTATACCTCCATTAAACGCGAAATTCCGTTCCGTGATTCCCTCTCCCTGCCCCCTCCCTCTACTTCTCGCTCTTTCTCATCTGTTTCCTTGCAAACAAGTTAAATAAAACACGTGCATCCCCGACGCCATCTTGGATTCTTCGGCGACCCCTTGGATCATTGCAAAAATGCAGGACGCGCTCTCGCGTCTTCGACCTTTGATTTGCTCGACGATTTCCCACGAGTTCGGAGAACACGATCCAAAGATATGAACTGAGAGAAAGAGAGAGAGAGGCTGACCTCTCTCTGTCTGTCTGTCTGTCTCTCTCTCTCTCTCTCTTCCTTATTACACATTTCCTCGATATGTACGCGTCCACTAAATACGACATACTTAAACATACGAGCCAAGAGATAAAAATTCAAAGTCTTATTTGTTCTCCTCGGTGTGACGACACGAAAAGAAAAAGGAGGAAGGGTAAAAATGAGAAACAACAAAGGTGTAATGGAGAGGAGAGTGTAACGGGAAGAAATCCTTCGGACTCGGTCAGACTCGGCACAGGTACGCGATGTCTTTGGTAATTTGTTTCGAGGAGTAAAGATCATTAATCTGCTTTCGGTAGATCATCAATAGCGCGAAAGATAACAGCGATGCAATGGTGTATCGGTAATGGGAGCCTTCAATAACCTCTGCGACCCTAAAATCTCGGTCTTCCACCACCGTCCTTTCCCACACTACGCCAGAAACCGAGCTGCCAGGACCTTCTCTCCTTCGCCATCGACAACACACCACCACCATCACCACCTTTGCCGCATCGTCCGCATCCTCCGGATACGTTCTTCCTTTTTCCTTTGTCCTCCCAGATCCCTTTATCTCTCTCTTTTCTCTCTTTTCCACGTTCGCGCGGGTGCTATACACAGCTTTTACTTTAGGAGAAGCTCGTCGACTAATTTGTACCCGCAGATAACCGACCCACCGAGAATCCTGCACCCGTCCGTGATATCCTCTCAGACTTCGAAAGACCCCGAGAATCCTCCGCACAAAAAAAAAAAAAAAAAAAAAAAAAAGAAAGCAAAGAAAGAAAAATTGACCACTCCGACCGGTCAGCAACGAATGAACCGACCGACTCTAAATCCCTTCTACCGTCGCTGCAAACGCGTAACGCATGATCCACATCTTTCGCGAAATATCGCGAATTTTTCCACGCCGATCGACTCTTCGTTCGTTCTCGAACCCTTCGTTCTTCATCTGGAAATTTGATTAACACCGCAGGCCTACTTGGTAACGCGCCACCGCTAGATAGAAGCTGTCGCTTAAGATAGCGCTTGAGAGAGCTCTTCTTCCCAGATACGAATAGCGTTATCGCGATCGACGATGCGAAACGACAAGAGACGAATGAGGGCTGAAAGAGAAAAGCAACTGAGACGACCGATACCGAAACAGGGGATACGAGCCACGAAAGAGACGAGCAGACACTCTTTCGACTGGCTCTTTGAGAGGTATCTGCACCTTTGACCCCGGCCTCGGGGGCCGTAAAACTGTCTAATGGAAAGCAGACGACGCGTGCTAGATCCGCTCAAAGCGGATGAGCGTGCAACTCTCTCTCTCTCTCTCTCTCTCTCTCTCTCTCCATCCGAGCGCTGTATCAGCGCGCAGCGCGCAGTTTGTAGAATAATTTTACGTTTGGGCTACTTGAAGGGGAGAACTCGATTAATCAACGACGAATCCAAAAGCGGCCGCGTTCACGATCGGGGGTTCGATAACGGCGGTGGTAACGCGGTTGCACAGAGCGAAACGAGGGATCGTAAGGAGATTGCGGCGTGCCATAAGCACGGAGGAATGTGTTCGGCTAAATTCCCTGGAAGCAGAATCACTCAAAGCGATCGTGCCCACGGCCGCTTTCACGAAAAACCGCCGCGCGAGCCCGAGTTTAATTGGCAAATTTCCGTTTGATTTGCAGCGCAACCTGCTTAATGAGCAACTCCGTGGACGACTGGGTGAGCGGCAACGCCGTGGTCTGCAACGGTATCCCAGGGATGACGAAGGAACAGCGCGACCTATGCAACAGAAACCCGGACGTGACGGTGGCTGCGATCAAGGGGCTGCAAATGGCGATAGTCGAGTGTCAGCATCAATTCATGTGGCACAGGTGGAACTGTTCGTCGCTGACGCCTCGAATCCGTACCCAGCAGAGCAGCGTTCTCCTTAAGAGAGGTAAGAGAGAGAAGAAAACGGGACCGTGCGCGCGCGTGCGATACACGAGACGCACGGAACGTCGCACGACTTGAAGAAAAAAAAAGAAAAAGAAAGGAAAAAGTTTCAATGGCCGCGAACATAGGCGAAGCACGATCCCTCCCTTCCCCTTCCACCGCTGGCTCTCGGAGAGCAGATCGAGCCTCGAAAACCTCGAGAGGAAAAGGTGAAATCTTTTACGACGTCGTTGACGTCGACGAACCGGCGTAGGCGAGAGACAGACGCGCTTCCTTAAATCAGAATACGGTGGTAGTGTGGCCTTAGTTGCGGCCACGGCTCCGAGAACCTGTCCGAAATACACGCAGGCGGGAGCAGGAGAGGAGACCGGCCTGAGACGAGAAGAAAAGAGATTGCCCCACGACTGTCCTATTCCAGTGTGACATATAAATTCGTCGTGGCGCGTACGTGCGTCGAAAGAGGAAACATATATCGTGTCGGACGAGTGCGCGAGAGCGCGACATCGAGCGCACCTGACCTGAAAGCTTAAGAGATCGTCCGCGCAGCCACGATCTCAGTGCCCGCCACGTCTGTCTTCTCGTTATCTGTCTCCGTGGATCGGTACACCTTTTTTTGCCCACCGGCCAACAAGAGGTGTCGATTCCACGACTTTTTCTTTTCCTCTCCCCCCTCCCCTGAAGCTGTTTCAAAACGACGTCTTCGAAAACCCGTATCGACACGCGTTTACTTTACTTGAACGTTTCGACGTAAGACAAACGAACGCGAAAGACGCGATCGCTCCTGGTTGATTGACAGATTTTCGAAGAAAGACCGGCAATGGTCGGATTCGCCGATTATCCGGCTCGAAAGGAGCCGGTCGATCGTCGTTCGAGTTCGACTGACTTCGAAGTCAGAGGGCAGCAGCTTCCGAGAAACGGCCCGTACTTCATCATTACCAACGGTTCCAGGTTTTTAAGGAACGACATCGGTGGCCAGGTGAGAGAGTCCGCGGTCGTTCGAGAAATCCACCGTGTCAAATTCGTGCTGGCTACGTATCTCGAAGAGAACGCACGTCGTTAAATCTCTCAGACACGGTCCTCTCGTTGCTTCTTCTTTCATTCCCTTCTCGACTCGTGTCGCCTCTCTCCTTTGCACTTTCCTCGCCTCTCTCTTTCTCTCTTTCTCTCTCTTGTCCTGTCCTTCAGCACGTTTCACTTTTGCCACGTATTCGTTAAACCCCGGCAAAACGACTTAATGTATTATGAAATGTACACGAAACGGTCCTGTTCTTTCTCCTCCTCTGTCCCAGAAGAAGTCTCCGTCTCTTGTTCCGGACCCGATGGCCCACACAAGGCGCAGTACACGACGTTCCGCCCGTTCGCCAGGAACAGCCATAGTATTTACAATCTTCAATACAGCGAAATGCGTTTTGAAAGATCCAACTTTCGTACATTTCCTTCGTAGATTCTCAAATCTGTACAAGATGTACACAACAAATTCGTGACGCGATTTAGATCGCGAAAGCGAAAGCGGTAAATGCGGTAGAAAGTCACGGATCGTCGAGAAAAATAAAAAAAAAAAAACAAAAAAAAAAGAAACAAAAAGAAAGAAAGAAAACTACAAGTCGAAAGTTCGTGATCGTGAAGGGTTAAGACAAGCGTAAAAGTCGTTCGGACGCGATGAAAAAGAAGAAGGCACACGCTCCCGTAAACATTACCGAGCGTGCGTACCCGCTACGCTATCTATTGAGTTATCTAAACAGTGATTTGGGCCTGACACAGGGTAGCAGGGTAAGGCCTACGCGCCATCCGTCACCAGGTCCCTGCGTCAACAGTCGAAGAGAGTAAAGAGGCAACGTGGCCCTGTGTTGTGCACCTCAGCCTCGTTCCCTTCTTCCTTCCACTTCGGCTTCTCCACTGTCCGACAGAAGAGACGTACAACTCCCCGCGGAGGATTTATTACGAGTCCCCTGTGTGTG